AGTAACGAGCGTGTTCGACGACTTGTTTACGGCAAAGAATAAGGAAATGAACCGCTCAGCACCGATGGCTGGGCCACGTGTTGCGCATGCCAGCCCACCGACTTCTACGACGTGCGTTGTTTGCTCACCGGGGATGTAGATAGAAGAAGAGGAGGGGTGGCCAAGCGATGACTTGGTCAAAAGGAATGAAGGCCCTCACTTCGGAGCTGGTCTCGGGTGGAGCGTCACAGTTCCCTGGTTGGGGTCCAAATACGGTGAACACGTTTGGCTGGATAAACTTGCTGACATGGTAAGCAGCCGACCTCAGTGGCGTTCCTGCTGTGAGTTTCTTTGTCTCTCCCCATCCCTTTTAGCCTCTCCCTCCACCCACGATCTCATTTCGTAGCGTAAAGCATAATAATTTTTCTTTTTGCCTAGTAGCCGGCTGGTAGCTTACCGGAACGATGCCTATCCGTTGCTGGTAGCTCAGCTGGCATGCAACTGTTGTATTTATTTTCCTTTTCCTTTAGGTATTGCGGCACAGTAGCTGAGGTGTTTCCCACCTCTAGCTGACGTGTATAATGATATAATGATAATGCAGTACGTCAGCTTCAATGCCGTATAATCACGGTGACCCACGGAACGAAGAACAATAACAGGAGAGATGGGAGACCCCGCGTAAAAGTTTAATGCCCTAAACCAACACTCAAGCTCGAGGCGCATACACCTTGTCAACAACATACCGTCATAAACAGCTGGCTATCATGCAAACATAAGGTGGCATCGGCAAGACAGCTTCCTTGCGGCTTTCACTGCTCCACGTCATAATCAGTCATCACCTCGCAGATAACTCAGCACCAACTTTTAAACAGGCAGCCCGACTAAGATGACGGCAACAGATGCGCCAATGATGTCGATTGAGAGCGATATCTTGTAAATTCTTGAGCGAAGCACGTCGCAAATCCCGTGGACACCAACCCGGAAGGCAAGACGGACGGACGGCACTCAGTTTGGTTCTCAGTGACTTCATTCCTAGCTGCCAAGTTACTTGATGCTCACCTCGAGCCTTCGCCAACCTACGAAAACCCCTTACCCGTTACATGGTGCCCGAGCATATATAGTACGTGCCCAAGCCAGCGCAACTTATTCATTGCTATTTCTTGTTCTAAAGAACCAGCATGATTATCATTTCCTAGTACTCGCCTGTGCACATCGTCGTTCCTGACACGCTGATGCCATTCGACATCAGCAATCCTTCGCAGACAACGAGGAAGGCGCCGCAGGTCGTAGATCGGAAGGGCAAAGTCTCACTCCCATAAAGTGGGACGGCCCTCAATGTGACCGTGTATACACGGCTTTTAGACGGTGGAAAACCCTTTTCTGACGCCACAGATGTCGCAGTTTCAAGAAAGCAGTTCTGGCTTTTGTAATGCGTGAACTGATTTCATTCGTTATGCGCCCATTGTTGCCAAGGTACGTTTAAACGATCAACTACCTCGACTACCTCAATATCAAGGGTCAAGTAGCTGATCGTCCTGCTGCAACACTTTGCACTTTGAAGGTGTGAACCGCAAGCCAAATGATGGGACCAATCTAAAAAGGTTATTGTGAGTTGATTGCATCGCCCCACGATCGTAAAAAGTAAGACAGTATTTTCTACTTGATCAATAACAAATGCCTTTCCACTAGAAAGTATTACAACGCCTGCATCATGAGGCGCCGCAAGGGAACACTCCATAATGCAGTCCACGACGTAGGTGAACAAAAACGTGGAAATCGGGCAAAATTGATGGACGCCACTTGTTGACGTAAAGGCATCCGACAAATCACCGTAGATCCTGAGGCGGCCTGTGGTGTTTTTGTGTACAGGGCAAGTAAAATGTTCACATATTTCGTAAGAACACCTTTCCGAGCAAGTATTTCGAACAGAATGCACCGGTCAACTGAATCGAAAGTACACTTGAAGACCAGGAACAAGTCTATTATCAGTCTGCGGTACGTGTGGCGCTGCTCTAGCACATGCCGCAGAGTAAATATGTAGTCTATACAGTCCTGTTCTTGGCGGAAACCCCCTAGCTCTCCCTTAATCCGAGATTACCACTCCGTAGTTAGGCGACGAACGAAAGTTGAGGCCAGTAATATTGTCAGCACCGGAAGTAAGCTATTACGCTTGTGGTTAGCACACTCGGTGCGGCTACCCTTCCCATATATCGCCCTATAATCGATGTACTCCTTAGCTGGAATGGTCTCTTCCTTCCACATGTTCGAACGGGGAGGCCAGTGCCTTACAGAAAACCTCACCTCCATCCTTAAACAGTGCAGGTGCGAGAGAATCCGGACCAGCAGTAAGAAAACGATTGACCGCAGTTATTGTGCTTCAGACCTCAGCCACAGACGCAGCCTCTAAACAAACTGTGCATGTCACATCCCGCATCTCCTGAGTAGGAAGAGGTTTAGAAGCAAGAGCACAACTGAGCTAATCTTGCAAGTGCTCCGCCCAACGAGCCATACGGCACCCCTTATCGCGAATCATGGCACCGCGCAGTCTCTGATTGTTTCAATGACACCTGGTCTTCTGCGATCAGTGATGCGGATATGTTGGAATTGCTTGCGGTAATTGCCTACTGCACCCGCTTCCTCCATTTCTCCAGCGCGACTGGTTCAACAGGCTTCCTTGTCAGCAAGCAGGCTCGGCTTTCGTTCGACCCTAATAGTCCGTCTGGTCACATTGTGCTCAGAGCCAGCCGGGAGCTTTCTGTTGGATTCCAACAGGTTCACCGACCTCTCGGACATCGTGACTCGTGCGGTGACGATTGGTAGTACCACAAGCAGATGCTCCTGCGTCGAGTGTGCCGGCCGGGGTTTCATTCCATAAAACTCAGTGTTATTTGGATAAGAGAGCGAAAGTCCGGTACGCAGTGTCTTGCTATCCTTGCTCGACTGAGGGCTGAGATAATTTTTGTTTACAATCGAAAGAGACGCTTAGGACGTCGCCAGATATAGGTCATGAAAAATCGACAGTGCACCAAGGCGCGATCAGAGTCAACACAAGTACTCCAAAAAGAGCGATAATCTATGATAGAACAACGTCACCTGGAACTTATGGCAAGTTGAGATATTTGAGTCCATCGCTAGACAGGTATAGGTGGACGGTAAGTCGCATTTCCATTCCCATTGTGTCTAAATGCGGCGCTACTAAGGAATAGCTGGTGCTCCGCAAACAGTTGCAACAGACGCTCGCCGTTGCCCGTCCTTTCGGAGTTAAGCCCATGCTTACCACCTACCTGAGCTTCTGAAAACCTCACGCGACCTACTTGCACAGTCATATCCCCTGCAAGAATTGTGATAGCATAACTGCTAACACTGCGCAGTAGCGTGTTCAGTTCGTCGTAGAAGTCGTCCTTGGCAGCATCAGAACTGCAGTCGGTGGAGACACAAGTGAAAACGACTAACAAACAGCATCTAGTGCTACTCCGTGAATCAACCATATTTGATGCCGGCAAATGGGCTGCACACAAACGGCTGTTCACGGAAATCCAATCAACCAACGATGAGACTCAGCCTTAAATCTGAGAATGATGCCTACCCCAGCTTGATCCGTGAGTGCAACCAATAGCGTGAGGACAAACCGGGTGCCGTTAATCCAACAACCTCCGTGAAGATCATTGATCCTTGTTAGAGATATAAAACACACGTCAATACACAGCGCGTCTAACATGTGTGTGGGTGTAGCCTGTTGACCTATGTGGCTTAGAGTGTGCACGTTGAACACCGATAGGGAAACGGAACAGCGGGGCCTTATAAAAAGCTTTCGGAGATTGGTGCTCAATGGGTGGTGCGGGTTGGTAGCTCCAGACAGGATGCTTTCAGTGACATCGTGGTTGCTGTCAATGTAACTGGAAATTAAGAGAAAGGCTAATAATGGAGACTGTGAGGGGAGTAAGAGAAACTGGTGGAAGCTAAAGAAGGGAGGCGCCAGTAGTAGCATGTTTTTGCTTGTCTGCCCTGCTGTATGCAGCAGATAAGACGAGCGTTGATGACCTAGGTGACGGCCGATGCAGGATATGTTGGAAGTTTTAATTAGTAGTCATGGTGGTAGGGAGGTTGAGATACTGCCAGGGCGCCCAGATCTAAACTAAACGATTGGGTCCTCAACCATAGCCTTTGATTTAAAACCCTGTTCACAAAACAGCGGGGAGATGGCAATGATTTAGTTTTACAGTATCGGACGCCATCCGCTTTCAAACATGGATGACCAGGAGACTGAGTTTGCCTGACCTCTCACCAATGACCAACCTAGTAGGAGTAGCTCTCAAGGGGTCCGGGGCCTCACGCCGTATAGCTTAATGGGCAAAGAGGTACGCAAACTGTCGCACCACGTTAAGGTCCATTATTTCTGCGACGGCGCGGTTTGGTTGCCTTATCTATCTACAGTGGTCCCTTGGAGATAAGGTTTGAACTTGGCTTGTGAGTGACTAAGTATCGGCGTTGAGTGAATGCAAAGGAAAGTCACGAATTAAGTCGTACCTTCATTGGAAATAATGCTGTAGGAGTAATAGCCAGCTAGCGCAGAGTCCTTTATCGAACGCAGTTTCACAGCAGTACGTTTCTTTTAAAAACTACAAATCTGCAAGCGTGAATATAAACATGAAGCGTGATAAGAGAGCCCAGGTTACATAAATCATGGCCCGTAGGAAAGAATTCCGTAAAAGTGTGCCCACTGAATACGGGAAGTTAATCCGATACAAATGAGTGTAAGACGATTACGCTGGGTGAAGATGAAGCAGAAAAAATCTGTGACAGTAGAGTCCATTAAATATGCCACCGCGAAGCGGTATGTGGAACCAAAAAAATCTTGTCTACGATGTTGCGATTGACAAGAAATTGATGCGACTGCAAGTAGTTACATGGGATACCATTGATGTAACAGTTTGCTGAAATGAAAGGCGCAATTTAGCCGTAAAAATTGCAAGCTTATATTTATAAAAAGAGGCAAAAATGATTGTAGACGACCGACTCACCTTCGCCGTGGACGAGCTTGTGCTGCGACAGCCGGCTATCAGTACGAGCGCGGTAGCCGCAACCCGGAAAAGGACACTCATAAGGACGATCCGAAGAATGAATGATTGAATGCTTCGTCAAGTGATGTTTGGAAGGGAACACTCGGCCACAGCCTAGGTGGCGGGAGAGAAAACGACGAAATAAGAAAGAAAGCGTAAGGACACGTTGTAGCCAGGCAACCACTGCCAGTCGCGCTTGGGCCGGGTATACCACGAGACCGCCCGCCCCAACGCCGATTCGAACCGATGATCATCGAATTACGAAGCAAGCGCGTAATCCTTTCACCCACCGGTCTAAGACGAGCGGGAATATGTGCTTTAATAATAGTTGACAAGGAAAATCGAACCAACAACAAGTGAGGCTGACACATGAGGTAAAGTCGAGGGAGTAGGCAGCTGAAGGCAGATCGAGAGACAGCCAATGAGCCGGAAAATGAGTTATCCACAGTAAAATTGTGACGGAAATCAAAAAGGACAAAGTTTCGTAGAACTAACTGAGTTTAGAAGGAATTGGGATGACTGAAGTTCATCATCATCATTATTACACGTTGGCAGCAGGTGGAAAACATCTCAGCTATTGTGCTGCAATATATAAGAAAAGAAAACATGCAACAGAGGCAGGTCGGCTGTCACTGGTTATGGATAAACATCGTTCCGGTGAGCCAATATCCGGCTATTGCACCGCAAAAGTTACATAATGCCTAATAGATCATATCGTGGATGGAGAGGATAGCTAAGCGGAAGAAGGAGGGATAAAAAAATCACAGCGCAAATGCAATTGTGATCGGCTCCTAGCAATGTCAACAAGTGTTTCCAACAGAAGGTGTTCATCGTCTTTCGGACGCAAACCTGGGAGCCGAGACGCCCCAAGCGAGACCAACTTCGAAGTAAGGGCCTTCATTCCACTTGAACAAGTCGTCGCTTGGTCGCCCCTCCTCTTGTTCTTCCTTCCGCAGACCCGGCGCGAAAACAACACACGTTACGGAAGTCGGTGGGCTGGCATGCGCTACACGTGGTCGAACCATCGGAGCCTAGTGCGTGAAATAATGGTGCTGAGCGGTTCGCTTCTTCCTGCGCCATATACAAGGCGTGGAACACGCGCGTTGCTCACACAGTGTTCCCACTAGATATGAGGCAAACTACGAAGGCACCGGTGGTCGAACGTAACTAGCCTATTTATGTCGGCTGATCTAAGGGGCCAGGTTTTACAACCGTACATTGTACACTCTACTCTCCAAGGAGAGAGCGATATCTAGCCGTCTTGAGAGTTAGCAAAAGCGCCTCGCGCTGTGGTGAGGGAGTTCGTTCAGTTGACGATAGAAGTAGTCTTTTACCGAGTCAACGCTACAGTTTGTGGGGGTGAATGCAGCGATGAGGAATAGACACCTATTAGTTCCGCGCGACTTCGAAGGTTTGAAGGAGGCAACATACACCCAGCTACTGACTGTGATACAAACAACCAGGGCAGCTTCAGCCAGCGGACTTAGGGTAATAACAATGCCGGCATGATCGGTACTCGAAGCTGCGTCGGCTCCGGATAGGCGACATGAGAAAGCACTGATGGTATCACCTGAAAGAGATCGCAGCGTGAGAGCAGATCTCGGGTTTTGTAAGAGGATTTCCGATAGGCAGCAGATAGCGATCAAGAGGGTCTCTAATGTTTGGGGTTGTCAAGAGAGCAAGAGTGACTTTCCGCGTTTGCAGGTGAGTTTTATACCCACATTGTCAAATCCTAATTCTTGTCCCTCCCCCACCACGCTTTGATAAGCGTTTATAGTCCATACCTTTTCACAGGCAAATTCACGCATAGTGCTAATAACTTAGCTTGTTAAAAAATCAAAATAACGTGTTGTTCATTCAAGTTCACACGCGCATCAATTCATTCTCTCCCTGAGGGGTTACGTGCACGCACTATCAGTGACACCCTCATTGGTCATGGGACATTAGCCAATGGGACTCCCTGGATCTAAGAACAGGGCGAGCTGTATGCGTCTATTGAGGCAGGTATGCTCCCGAGTACGTTGACACATTGGTATTAGCGGCAGGTAGACAGGGATGACAATGTTAGTGTTAAAGGTCACCAACAGTATGCCTAATTGTAGCTGGTCAACCTGGAATGAGGTGTTTGAACGTCCTCTCTTAGCAACCCTTTAACAGATTTTTTCTCGGAAAGAGTTACCATTGGTTCGCATTCACACCCAGCCGGTAGCCGGTGTCCCTGTGCCAAATTTCCAACGCTTGTCCGAGCCGTTCGTAACGTATCGAGCGCACAATATGTGATCGGTCCAAGGTGCACAGTACCAGTGGAATATTTAGGCCCTAGGTTAGTATTGCCTCTGGTCGAAACAATATACCGCATGAAGATAATAATAAGAACAATACTAATAGTAAAAAATAATGGGCATATTTTACATCTAATGAGAAGCTGTGACAATATTTGGCTCAGAACATACACGCACAGGTGATGTCATGCTGTTGCGAGGGCGATATCAAGTTATCTTTTTATGTTTGTCTGCATTCCTGGCAAGGTATTTGCCCCATAAGTTTGTCTTATGCGATGGTATGAGGTAAATTTGCAGTCTGAGTATGTTGTAAACATTGAGGACTAATTCCAATGTGTGAAGTGGTGGTATTACACCTATTAGACGTTAGCTGGGCTTTCATTGAATTGATGTTCAAATGATCTTCCCCCGGAAAAAACACATAATGGTGTCCAGGTAGAGGTAGCTCACCAAATTATTGCGAAAGGATTGCACCGTCTCCCATAACCTGATGGTGAATGGCAGCCGATTCTAGCGAGAAGCAAATGTGGTGAAACGAAACTTAAACCGCAAATTTGTCCTGCATCGTGGTATAATCAGGATAATGCCTTTGTTACTTAGGTCTCGCTTGTAATTGTGCTTCAATGTTAAGGTGAATCGATTGCAATGGTTATGGTCATGAATCACGTTGTGCAGCAGTCACAAGTTATCTTTTAGAGTTCACAGCAAAACTGATGGAAATAGAGTTGCTGGCATCGCTCCCGAGAGTTTACGATAGAATTTTGCCCAATACGTGCACAGTAAATGACTGTTGAGGGCTTTCTGTTGATGTTTTATCTAATTTGCCCATATTGCCTCCGATTATGCTACGATACTCCAGAATGGGACGATTAAGGATTCTAAACAGTTCAACTGTAGCTGTGAGTGTAAGCATGTTATGAGAGATGTTAACGAAGAATCGTCTGGCTCGTGCTATCTGGTACTCAATCTATTCTGAACATAAAAGTAGAAGAATATTCTGGGTTGTGTGCACGTGTCTGTCTAGACTAGCCGTCAAGACAGCTGGCAGCATACACAACAATGCCGTAACTCTCTTTTTCGTTTAACTGATCTACAGGAGCGATGTTTTCCAGGGTCGCTTTAGACCACAAAGATTCAGAGGCGGACGCGGGTCCATCCTCTGCGGGACAAGGGTTGTTACTTATTGAGGGGACGTGCGTTTCCCCATGGGAAAAATGCGTTTCTTCGTGGGACGTGGTTCGTTTTGGCGCAGGGCGGGGTGCGGCAAGCAAAATACTACTTCCAAGCACACTGATTGGCAGCAGCTGCGCTTGAGGTTCTCTCTGCTCTCTCTTAAGCTAGCCGGCTTTCTGAAGTTCGACAAGCTCGCTTCAGCGGCTCACTGAAAGGCACGCTGCAGTATAAGCAATGACTAATAAATAAAGGCTGGCACAGCGGACTTGGAATTTCGGCGAACACTATTTGACACGAGCGCTAAGTCATTGACGCGGCATGCTATTGCCCTACGAACCTTTATTCAGCCTGCACATTTGAATTCAAATTCTTCCTACGTTCAGCCTTCTAGGGATAGCGCGTTAGCGCCGAACATTATATCTGCCATATTTTATTTATTATTTCCCCGCTGACCAAATATACATTATTCTTTCATGTTATAATCTTTCTTACAAACAGCTTGTCACTAGACCATCTTTAATTTGCTGCGCTAACGTGTTGCTCCTTGCTTTATTCATCCGTCTGCGTCTTTTTGTAGCCCATCGCATACAGGCCGCTGTGTCAGACTAGAATTGCCTTCTGATATCCGCACTTACTTTTGCACCGCCTCGGCCCATCCTTTATTAGTCCTACAAACACCCTGAGTGACCAAATGTTTGTCCCCTAGCCGTTTAGGTGAACACCTGGATGACATGTTAATCATTCAAACTTGTTTTCGCTACACATTTATAATATACTGCAACTAAATGTTTCAAGGTAGCAGCATTAGTTAACATACAACTGAAATTAACTCCTAAATTGTATTTACGTACTGCTGTAGCCGACAGGCTAAGCCGAAATGAAGTTAAGTGACCGAACTTCGTCCATAATGAACGCCATTCGGATAACATTTGTCCAATCAGAATGTTTTGTCGGACACAACCTTGCTTTTGACAGTGATGGTGCAACTGACTAGGCCTCGATCTTTCGACTATATGCCTCGGAGCTGAATGTTGGTTGAAACCGCCGTGAACCTGTTACATTGGCGCAAGTGCACCACTGATGGGGCCTCTAACTTTCAACCACGAGCTTCGAAGCCCAGCGCTATTGAAGCGCCCTTGAATCCTATTACACTATCCCCAAATGTGTCACAGATGGAGTCCCGATCTCTGATCACAAGTCTTGTAGCCTGATGCTAGTACACCCCGCCTGGGTCCTAGTATATTGAAACCAAATGTGTTGCTAATCAAGCTCACCCTCAGAAACGCTCTCAGCCTGAATGTGGGCAGTCATGACGATAAGAGCTGTTTTATATAGATAAAAACGTGTAAAGCTGAAGCTTTATACTCTAAGTCAGTGCTTTAAACCCACACGTCCCATGCAGCGCATCATTACGTGAACACGTATTCATCGGGAATGTACTCAGAATTTGGCATGCGATGTATTATACTGTGCAACACCGGTGCCGTAAAGTCTGGCAAGACCGTACGCCCCATTTCTTTATTCAAACATTACAAATTATGTGCCGACGTGGCCGAACGACTGGCTCGTCCCGTCTGCGAATGCAAC